CCTCACACACAGCACTGGCATGCATAAGAATATGATGTTATCTTGTTTTTTAAAAGGCATCTTTAAAAAAAAACAACTTCAACACATGCAATGTTCTGATTGCACCACAAACGCAGTAGTCATCCTTACCTTTCACAGAGGCACTGAGTTTTATAAATATGAGCATGATAATGTAGAATAATCATATCCAAGGACCAGTGGTGGGTTTCAAAAAAATTTGGAACCTCTTCTGTAGGTGTGGCCTGCTTTCTGGGTCCACTGGTGGAACCTCTTCTAACTGGTAGATTTGACGAACCGGTTCTACCGAATAGGGTAGGAACCCACCTCTGGACTTCAACTTCCAGAACTTCCATTCTGGCTGGGGAATTATGGGAGTTAAAGCCTACAGATCTTAATGGGATCAAGTTTGAGACTCTGGTGAAGAGCAAGTGTTGGCACTTGTAGACCAATAAGGCACCTCCTAAAATAGTTACAAGCTCCCCAAATTCCAAAGAGAGGATTTTTTTTAAAAAAAAAATTGCCAAATTTTAAGGAGATATACGTAGGTATGTCACTTCATGAGGATTCTTCATGAAATTCAGAGTGGATTGTTTATTTCTTTTTGAATTCAATTTATCTCCTAGGTTCCTAAAGAAGCAATTTTCTCAATCTGTTGCTCATGACCTCTCTGTGAACTAGTGAAGAGATTGTTTTCTTAACTGATAACAAAGATATGTCCAGGTGATTAGAATGTGAAACTCTGGTTCTAAACTTATTAGTACAAATGAGTTCCTCCTTCCATATGTAAAGCTTTTCGTCTTAATTAGTTGAGAGATCTTTCAGGTCAAAGTCAGAATAGGAGGAAAACTAATTATTTTTTTTACTGTTTAAACTTCCTTTCAAGAGACAAATCAACAAGTGCAGGCGTATCTTTTCTCTAGGTTGTATCAAATAGTGCCATTCTATCCAAAAGTGCTGCTATTAATGCTCCCTGTAATATTCCAGTAAAATTGCAATATTAAACAACACAAGCTGAAATTTTGTAGTTAAAAGCTTTACTGAAATCTATCAGGATCCAGTTCCAAATATGCACAAATAGGATCAGAGGACACATAAGCAGAAAAGGGATTATTCTACAAACAAAATTGTCCTTCCACAATACATATGTAACAGGATATCTGAAATTCTGTATTATTATTACAGTTTGTCGCATGGTCAGCCACACGACTAGACTGGATTGGGCATTTTTTTTGTCCACCTATTGAGTCCTATTGGAAGGAATGACAGAACTTTGGGGGGGATGGGAGTTCAAAGAGGGATCAGCCTAGATTCTCCACATAGCCACAACGGAGCTAAGGCCAATCCCTCTTGAATTCTGTTGACCCTTACCTAACTATTCTTAACTAACTTAGTTGATGATAGTTAGGTAAGGGTCAACAGAATTCAAGAGGGATTGGGCTTAGCTTCCTTCTGTTAGTTGAGAATATTCCTGTGCACAGGTGTGAGTAGCAATAAATCACTTTAATTTAACCTTCATGCGTGGATCTGATCTTTCACAACTGACAATTACAAAATTACATCTTAACAACTACCACATTGAAAACAGTCTTCTCATAACAACTTTCCACATTATGGATCACTTGCAAACAAGAGAGAATTTCTCTACTATTGAATGTTTCTGACAGGTCTCGATTATGTCACATGTATCCAAGCAAGTTGGAAATTCCACCAACAGTTTGGAAAATCCACATTAGTATATATAGAGGGGTGGGCTTCAAAAAATTTAGCAAGGGGTCCTCTGCCCGGTTGCTGGTTAGGCCTGGCTAAGGTGGACGTGGCCTAATCGGCCTCCTGCACCACAGCGGGGGGACATTTTTGCCCACCGCAGGCTCCGGGGGCTTTCCACAAGCCTCCGGCAGGGCAAAAATAGCCTGCCCAGGCTCTGGGGGCCCTCTGAAATCCAGAAACAGGCCCGTTTCTGGCCTTCCTGAACATCCAGCAGGCCCATTTTTCGCCCTCCCCAAGCCTCCATGCGCACCTTGCACTTACTTGCCTCAAAAACAGGCCGTGTTGGCATTTGGGGGAGGGGTGGGTGGGGCTAGCCAGGTGTAGAATTTGGGGGTTCTCCAAACTGCATAAAATCTTAGCTAGAGATTCTCCCGAACCCCTGCGAACCCCCAGCAGCCACCCCAATATATACACGAAGAGATGAGTGAATTTTGTAGATATCTAAAATAGAAACCACTATTTACAAAGACTGTGGTGGAACTTCATGGCCTTGACTTATATGAGACCAACAAGCAAATGTGTTTCCTGTAAAAACCATAGTAAGCTGATGCCTTGGTGGCTTTCGGTCAGACCCCCAAAATCAAGAAAGACATGGAGAGGAGAGTTACTTCTGAGAAATTTCCTTTATTTTTCCTCACCTATAGATAGAAATATTTCCAAACTAAATGGCCAAGTGTGATTGGACACACGCAAGTGTCTACAGATAATCCTTGACTTACAATCATTCATTTCATGCCTGTTTAAACTTACAATAGCACTGAAAAAAGTGACATACGACCATTTTTCACACATGACCATTGCACCATCCCCATAGGTATGTGATCAAAATTCAGACACTTGGCAACCGATTCAAATTTCTGGTGGTTTGCTGTGTTCCGGGGTCATATAATCCCCTTTTGTGACCTTCTGACAAGCAAAATCAATAATGAAGCCAGATTTACTTAACAATCGTGTTACTAACTAAACAACTACAGTGATTCACTTAACAACTGTGACAAGAAAAGTTGTAAAATTGAGCAAAATTCCTTTAATAGCTGCCTCACTTAGCACCGGAAATTTTAGGCTCAATTATGGTTGTAAGTCGAGGACTACCTGTATTTGCATCATGAAAGATATACTCTGAGAAATGCTAGGGAAGAATGATCTTAATTCTCTCCCAACCAAATTATCTAAGTTTTGCTACCTTCTTGGTCCTCTGAAATCTAACTTCTTCTTCCTGGGAATACAACTACATTGTACCACATTTTCACTGGCCTGCAAGAGAGCTTTTGTGAGGGGAATTGCCCCTGAATGATGGATCCAAGTTGGTGCTTTTCCAGATCAAAGAAGATATTGTCAAGATCATCCACTTGACTTCGGACAGGCATTAGTCTTGAGTAGGCAGGGAAAACTACTGTTTTTACGCTCAGTTTATGACTGAAGTGGCTGAGTTTGGGATTACATCAAGCTCACATTCCCAAAGCATCCTTTACAAATTTTAAGATTGATTTATATCGTAAATTACCTTTTTTGGATTGTTTTGCTTTTTTTGCATATTGGGGAGATTGCGTCTTTGTACTGGCAAAAAGTTTACTGTATACATCTGGTGAGTTTCCACCTCCTTCAAAGATGCTGGTATACATTTGTTTTGAAAACATTTTAAAATATTTGATTTTTTTGTGGATTATGCAGCAAAACAGTATGGATTGTATAGTTTTTGGAAAGTTAATTATGGAATAGGGGCCAGAGGGATTTAGAATTATAGTTATTTAGTTATTATATATTTTACTTATTAGTTATTTATATATTTTAATTAGAATTATTTAGAAAATATTTTCTCAGGGAAAAATAGAGAATACAATACAATACAATAGCAGAGTTGGAAGGGACCTTGCAGGTCTTCTAGTCCAACCCCCTGCCTAGGCAGGAAACNTTTAGAAAACATCATATTTAAACAAATGAAAGACAAGGCAAATGTGCTGTTAAATCAGTAGGAAATTAGGGTTTAGTATTAGGGTTCAATCTAAATGGAATTGCATTTCCTTTAAAGGGCAAATTCACAGAATGGAACTCTTCCTTGACCACTAGCTGTTTCTGGATTCAGTTGATTATCCTGATAAGAAATGCACTTTGCAAAACTATGCTTAGAGTGTCATCTGTAACTGTTTCTGAATTCATCAGATATCACAAGGGTTATCCATATTACTATGATGCACTTCGTATGGGTCTATCCATGAAGAGTGCTTGGAGTCCTTGATTAGGGCAAAGTACTGCAGCTAGGCTGCTAATAAAGTGAAGGGATCATGTCAGTATTGACAATTTACACTTGTTACTTACTGCTCAATTGAAAGTATTGATATTACCATTTAAAACCCTAAATGGCTCAGGATTTGAGGAACTACCTATTCCACTTGTTACAATCACAGACATTGATTCCTTAGGTAAATGAGGGAGGAGCCTAACCCAACCCAACCTTAACCCTACTCCTAACCCTATGATGTTCCTGAGTCACTGAAAGTTGTGCTCGGAAGTCACATTTAGCCCACATCCTTCTGCCATTAAGAAATGGGAAAAAACCTTCCCTTTCCACCTAGGCCGTTTCACTTCCAAATACTTTAGCTCTTGTTATGATCACATTGTTTGTTTGTTAGACTTAGATCCCATTGTTCAACTTAGTTGTTTTGGGTGTCCTGCGGGGATAATATAAGCTGAAATGGTGATGCTGTTCCAACTTATTAATTGCTCTCACGCTATCATTTATTCAGAGGGAATTAGAAATATGCTCTCTATTCCATCCCTCCTAGCAATTATCACTCCAGAACATCTCATACACCCTTTTATAGGGAAGAGTAATATGCCAATATTTTAATAAGCAATCTGAAAGTGCAGTTACTGAAAGTGTGTGCAAATTAGAGATGTCATTTTCACCCAGTAACTTTGGCACTTCTGATGTTTCTAAGACAACAGATAACGTGTGGAAATTATGTTGCATTTTAAAATTGTTTCTGCCTTAGGGGCATTTTTAAACTCGTTCTTTGTATAGTTCAAGTGCACTTCACCTTTCCACATATTGCATCAAATGCAGAAATGCAGCTTTTTATGTCCTGCAAGTTGACAACAATCTAACTAAGTAATATTTGTTGATTATGAAGTTCATGGAAAAAGTCAGACTTTCAGTAGACAACACTGGACAGGAGCAAACAGAATTAGAGCAGGAAAATGTCTTATAATGAGGGAGATTATCCGTCTGATTCAGTCTTGCCGACATTACTTGGCAATAGATTCAAGATTTCAAACAAACATTTTTAGGGTTCCCTGAAGAAGGAAAGGACATCTTGCATTAAAGCAACTGCTCAGTTCTTCCTTTTGCATGATATGATTGCTCACCTCATTCTCAAACAGTTCTCCATGTTGAATCTCTTGGGGATAGCCATCAATCAAGAATCCTTTGGAGTTTTCCATATTGGCAAGTATAGCTTCTTTTAAGAGTTCCGTGACAATATCCTTAATTGAAGAATGCAAAGTAGTTTGGTTTAACATCTGGTCTGAAAGCTGAAGTGCCTTAGAATGAGACATAACCTAATATGTTCTTATTCCAAGTATCTTGTGCACTCATGTGCATGTATTATTTTACCATATTTACCTATTGAAGGCGCTCCAAAATTCCTATCATTACTGACTCTTAACCTAGAAACTTTACAACTAGGAAAACGCTAGAAAATGGAGGGGGGGAGGCAGTGCTCCCTTGAGAGCTAATTATTTTAAGTACTGGAGCACATTACTAAGCATATCTCTTGCAAATATATTCAATTGAAGGAGTCTTTTAAAAAATGTCTCAATGAGAGCAGCAAAGATGTCTATGTTGTTGGGCTTCACTTACTACCTTGCTTTCTTTAAAACACAACAGGTATTTTGAGTTAATACATATTGCTCTTCAAACAAATTTCTGGAGAAAGAACCTACCGTATTTTTCAGAGTATAAGATGCACCTGAGTATAAGACGCACCAAGATGTTGAAGAGGCAAATTAAAAAAAAAGGTTTTGCACTCTGCAGACCTCCCAAAAATGGCCCATTTTTCGTGAAAATGGGCTCATTTTTTGTCAAAAAAAAGGGCATGCATAGACTTTAGGAGGGTTGTAGTGCTCCTGGGGGCTGGGGAAAGGGCAAAAATGAGCAAAAAAACCACCCGCTTTTGTGAAAATGGGGCCGTTTTTCATCAAAAAAAGGGCATGCATAGACTTTAGGAGGGTTGTAGTGCTCCTGGGGGCTGG